TTATGTTGGCAATAAACCATTAACTACATTGTATTAGAAATAACGCAGTAAGAATTTTCAGCGCAATCTGAGATCAACAGGACACCTAAATGATTTTGGACACACATACACACAGATCCCACCTGGGCATGTTGCTCGTCTGGTCTTCATCTCTCGCTGCATGTAGATCAGATCTGGGACCTGGAGCCTCTTGCCTGGGCGCAGCTGGGGCTTCTCTCACTGCACAGTTGTAGTTCCCGAAGTCGTTCCTGGAGCCGACAGTACCAGAGGGACTTCTGTCTCCAGCTACCTCCGGGAAAGTTAGTGTATGGGCTGGAGAGATGGTTGCCACGGAACCCGCGACCCTGTCAGGTTCATCTACGTGTGTTGCCTTGGAGACGCCTAGATCACCGAGCTCAATCCCTCGCCGGCCACTGGCATCTTCTCTATCCTCGTGTTTATCGCCATACTTGCCATAGGCCGAAAGTGTTCCCTTGTCCCCGGCACTGAGCACCAGCTGTGAGGTTTCGATCTTATTGTCGAACTGGTTCACTCCCCATGATATGTGTTCTATCCACTCACCACCTGCAGAATGAGCATTATATCCCTCTAACTGCACCTGATGCAGTTCACGACAGCGGGGAGAATCATGGGCCGCACTTGTCTCTGAATTAGTGTCCCCTCTGTTGTGTGTGCTGCAGGTGTCCCCCAGACGCGAGCTGTTGAGTTCACCGTGTGCAGCTCTCCGGGACCCGTAGGCCGGCTCCGACACAGACAACCGGACATCATCGGCGTCCAGAAGGTCATCGTCAAGGGGGAGACTGTCGCCTGGTCTAGAGATCAGCTCCTCGGAGATGCTGGTCAGTGTGGGCCTGCTGCTGACTCTCAACACGGTGGTGTACCTGGCCAAAGCCGGCGAGGAGACAGGTGATAAGGGCCTCAAGACGCTGCTGCCTTCAACCTCTGGGGCTGCCTTGTCCTCGTAGGCCGACTCTTCTATAGCTGGGAGCAGGGCCACCATGCGTGACCGGCTGCTGGAAGGTCGTATACCATCGACAACGTCCAGCGTGTCCAGTGGAAGGTAAGACGTGCACGCATCTCGTGCTGTGTCCGGTAGAGGCTCAGACAATATGTTCTGTTTGTGTTCATCTTTCTTCAAGGCTGCAAGCGATCCATTTCTGATTTGTGCAACAACTTCTGGCTGATGTTCTTTGTATGTTCGTGATATTGATGTGTCTTTATCTATTGGCTGTTTCTGAAACCAACAAAATTATGGGATGTCATTCTCGGATGGTAATCTGGTTTACCATGAGCTGTGACTTTTTATCGGCAATAACCAATAGCGTTCCAGCACGACTGAAGCCACGAAACAGATCAAGAAGGCTGGAGGACAGACAATCAGGATGAATAGGCAGGAAAGTAAAAGGTTAGCAACAATACAAAAGACAATACAGCATACAAAACAGTCTCGTAGTCTTCAAGGGCTGCAAAAACCGGCGGCAAATTGTAGTTTTCCGTCCACTTCTCGATTCTAGTCTTATCCTTGAACCTGGGTTTTGAGTCTACATCCGTTTTACATATCTCGTTTATTAACATGCAGTCTGTTAGTTTCCGCCTGTGAGGCAGAGGCAAGCCGACTTTGACGGAGCTCTACCACCTGCGTGTTAGTGGGGTAGTAGGTCAAACATCCACACACCCCCAGTGGAGCAATTATGTCACATAATAGAGAAATGTCCCCACGTCCTCCTCATACGTTCAAAGAAGCAGCTCAACTATCGGCCTGCTTTTTCGCCGTGCACACATACACTCTAATGCCACGATATGACATCTGTTTGTCATCAGACAGCAGTGGTATGCTGCGCGAACGCTGTCCATACACAGCGACAAAGGCGTGAACAAAGACAGACATGAACCAGTCAAGCAAGGGTCTCTATGTCATGACACTGGTCTAAGCTATATACTTAATCTGAGGTCTTTCTCTGTCATTGTCTTGTCTACGTGGCGATCACAACAGGCACACACACTTGCATATAGCACAACAGACACAAGCTCCTGTGTGATGGGGACACTTCTACCGTCTCTCACACCGTCTGACTATCCATGAACACCCCAGCCCCACACTTCAATCAACCATGTTCCTCCCATGTCATTAAAGTTCAGGACCGAAACACATTCAACAAAAGAGGACACGATGGGTACCCCATCATCAGTGTGCTCCATGGACTTGGTGCCTCAGTCATCATCTAGGCGCAGCTGAAACAAGAGACAAGAGAACCTGGTGGTCTAGAAGGGCAGCCGCCAGCCTCCACAAGATGGTCGACATCTTCTGTCTGCGTCACTGACCAGCCTGACGTCATCCGACAACATGGCATGTGGCGGTGACAAAAACAACAACTTGGTGAAGGCACGAATCAATCTTCGGAAGATTATTTACTACATTACAAGAATGTGGATGTGGAAAGCAAGGGGAAACTACGACATTACTATCTCAAGAAACTCATCATGGAAGTGAATAAGGGGTTTTAAGCTGAAATGCTATAGAAAGATTCTCAGAATATCTTGGACGAAGAAGAGGAGAAATACTGACATCTTAAAAGATCTGAACATCCAGGAAGATTGGCTAATAAACAGCATCCTTTCGGAAGCTGAAATATTTTGATCATATCAAGCGCCACGACGGATTGGAAAAAAAATTATAGCAGAAGGCATGGTACCAGGAAGGAGGGGCAGGGGCCGACCAACACGAAGATGGGCACATGATATAAGTGACTCCTTGAGTATGAAAGTAAATGAGACGGGAGAGCTGGCGAGAGACCGAGTGTCTTTCAGTCAGACTGTGATGAGAGCCACGTTCTGCAAAGGACCTGCTACACGATGATGATGACAAGCATGTTAAATGTTGAATTTTGAATTAAGAATCGACATCTTAGCTCTCAGGACACCCCCATAAGCGCTCCGTTCTCATCTTCAGCAGCAAACAAAGAGTTTTAATTACGATGGTACCATTAACTTTCTGACTGTATAGACATACCTAGGTTCCCTCTCACAACATATCCAACTCTTACATCTTTAGGTTCCCTCCCACAACATATCCAAGTCTTACATATCCAGGTTCCCTCTCACAAAATATCAAAGTCTCACATATCTAGGTTCCCTCTCACAACATATCCAAGTCTTACATAGCCAGGTTCTCTCTCACAACATATCCAAGTCTTACATAGCCAGGTTCTCTCTCACAGCATATCCAAGTCTTACATATCCAGGTTCCCTCTCACAACATGTCCAAGTCTTACATATCCAGGTTCCCTCTCACAACATATCCAAGTCTCACATATCTAGGTTCCCTCTCACAACATATCCAAGTCTTACATAGCCAGGTTCTCTCTCACAACATATCCAACTCTTACATAGCCAGGTTCTCTCTCCCAACATATCCAAGTCTTACATAACCAGGTTCTCTTTCACAACATATCCAAGTCTTACATAGCCAGGTTCTCTCTCACAACATATCCAACTCTTACATAGCCAGGTTCTCTCTCACAACATATCCAAGTCTTACATATCCAGGTTCTCTTTCACAACATATCCAAGTCTTACATAGCCAGGTTCTCTCTCACAACATATCCAAGTCTTACATGGCCAGGTTCCCTCTCACAACATATCCAAGTATTACATACCTAGGTTCCCTCTCACAACATATCCAAGTATTACATATCCAGGTTCTCTCTCACAACATATCCAAGTCTTACATACCTAGGTTCGCTCTCACAACATATCCAAGTCTTACATATTTAGGTTCCCTCTCACAACATATCCAAGTCTTACATAGCCAGGTTCTCTCTCACAACATATCCAAGTATTACATAGCCAGGTTCTCTCTCACAACATATCCAAGTCTTACATATCCAGGTTCCCTCTCACAACATATCCAAGTCTTACATATCTAGGTTCCCTCTCACAACATATCCAAGTCTTACATATCCAGGTTCCCTCTCACAACATATCCAAGTATTACATACCTAGGTTCCCTCTCACAACATATCCAAGTCTTACATATCTAGGTTCCCTTTCACAACATATCCAAGTCTTACATATCCAGGTTCCCTCTCACAACATATCCAAGTATTACATTTCCAGGTTCTCTCTCACAACATATCCAAGTCTTACATACCTAGGTTCCCTCTCACAACATATCCAAGTCTTACATAGCCAGGTTCCCTCTCAAAACATATCCAACTCTTACATATCCAGGTTCTCTCTCACAACATATCCAAGTCTTACATATCCAGGTTCCCTCTCATAACATATCCAAGTATTACATACCTAGGTTCCCTCTCACAACATATCCGAGTTTTACATATCTAGGTTCCCTCTCACAACATATCCAAGTCTCACATATTTAGGTTCCCTATCACAACATATCCAAGTCTTACATATCTAGGTTCCCTCTCATAACATATCCAACTCTTACAAATCCAGATTCCCTCCCACAACATATCCAAGCCTTACATCTTTAGGTTCCCTCTCACAACATATCCAAGTCTTACATATCTAGGTTCCCTCTCACAACATATCCAAGTATTACATATCCAGGTTCCCTCTCACAACATATCCAAGTATTACATGTCCAGGTTCCCTCTCACAACATATCCAAGTATTACATATCCAGGTTTCCTCTCACAACATATCCAAGTCTCATTTTTCTAATCCAGTTTAACAAATGTATGATGATTATTTTCTTTCTAGTGGTTGTCGACATGGTACACGATGATAATTTTGTTAATAAAAAAATTGGGAAAAACTACGGGGGGGGGGGGGGGGGGGGGGGGGGGGGAATCCCGACAACTAGTTCCCCCATAATCTAAATATAGCAGCAGAAATTAAATATAAATAAATAGCAAAGTTTGATTGGCTAGTTTCTAGGACAGGGTTCCTTCCTGAAGCAAACTTCCGGAAATCCCCAACAGGGAAGTGGAGATAGAGCCGACCCGGGTCTGTAAGACTCAAGACCGCTGGAGAGAATGACTGACCGCAGAGGTCCAGAGAAGTTCATCAAATGTGTGGTTGTGGGCGACGGGGCGGTGGGCAAGACCTGCTTGTTGATGAGTTACGCCACCAACAAATTCCCGTCCGAATACGTGCCGACCGTGTTCGACAACTATGTCGGTGAGTGCAGACCCTGTCTTGTTACCTCGTCTGTGTCCGTTCTTCCATTAAATAACTTCTAATATAACGATGTTGTTTGGGGCCATCTGTGCAGTTAAATTGATTTGTATTCATGTTATGCTCAGTTTATGTTCAAAGAAGAGGATAACAACTTGAGGCAGCCCTTGCTTGTGCGAAGACGGAATATCTCTGCGTGTGTTTTGACGGATATTGGAGTGTGTCAGACACCAGTTGATTAATTATTTAATGAGAGAGGTGTGCTACGGCAATCAACAAATGGCTGTATAGTTATTGAGTGCAGCTAACAGCTAGACACGGCCTCTCAGTTAGACAGCTAGCAGTATCAACAATGTTTTCTCTATGTTCTTTGTTTCGCTTCTACTTGCCTTGCTAGTATGTCCGTCCTCTCTTTCATGGAAAAAACCCATATATATATATATATTAAAATAGGTTAATTGCGCATCCTTTACAGGACGTTGCAGAACCAACCCCTACAGACCGTGTCTGTTGTGTGGTTTTTTAAGGCAAATTTACGTCCAGTAGTTTGTGTGTGTGTGTGTGGATGTAATGTGTGTGTGGGGTGTGTGTGGGGTGTGTGTGTGGGTGTAATGTGTGTGTGGGGTGTGTGGGTGGGTAGGTGTGTGCGGATGTGTATGTGGGTGTGTATGTGGGTGTGTGTGTGTGTGGATGTAATGTGTGTGTGGGGTGTGTGTGGGTGAATGTGTGTGTGGGTGGTTGTGTGTGTGTAAAACTCATCAATGTTAGACAGGATTTATTTGTTGGGTTTTCCTCATGACCTCAGTCCATTTGATTTTCCACCCAGCACTTGCCTGGGGCAGTGTAATCTTTTGTGTGTTAATACCTGTGGTTGTGCTCTCTGATTTCTTTGCCTTTCTGAAATTCATCAAATTCAATGTTCACCAGTTTCCCTCCCCCTCCTACCCTCACCCCCTCCTTATGCACACTAATATTATTAGAAGAAGGAAAAATAAGATGCTCACAGCTGAACTTTGTGACTATAGGCTCTTGAGACCTTTCTTGTGTGCAAACTCCTGTCCTTGGGTTAGTCTGTTTTAACTGACTACAAGGCTAACCCAGAGAGCTCAGCTTGACCAAGTGGACTTTAGAAAACTCATTCATTTTAGTTTGAAAAAACTCACATGATGCTACTGAAACATATAAAATAACAAGAATCTTGAGGCTAAAGTTGTTTTTCTAGAAACATATTTGTGCTATTTTGCCACCGGGGCCTCAACAATGACAGTGTGATGACACACAGGCCTCAACAATGACACATGGGCCTCAATGATGACACATGGGCCTCAATGATGACACAAGGGCCTCAATGATGACACATGGGCCTCAACGATGACACACGGGCCTCAATGATGACACACAGGCCTCAACGATGACACATGGGCCTCAACGATGACACATGGGCCTCAATGATGACACATGGGCCTCAATGATGACACACAGGCCTCAATGATTACACATGGGCCTCAGTGATGACACATGGGTCTCAATGATGACACACAGGCCTCAACGATGACACACAGGCATCAATGATGACACATGGGCCTCAATGATGACACACATGCCTCAATGATGACACATGAGCCTCAACAATGACACATGGGCCTCAACAATGACACATGGGCCTCAATGATGACACATGGGCCTCAATGATGACACATGGGCCTCAATGATGACACATGGGCCTCAACAATGACACATGGGCCTTAATGATGACACATGGGCCTCAATGATGACACATGGGCCTCAACAATGATACATGGGCCTCAATAATGATACATGGGCCTCAATGATGACACATGGGCCTCAATGATGACACACGGGGAAGCCATAATGCACACTCGCTGGCTGTAGTAGATGTGTGCCTTTGGAAATATACTGGAGTGAGACCTCACTCTCTTACATATAATGTTTCAAGGCCTCACTCTCTTACATATTATGTTTCAGGGCCTCACACTCTTACAAATTATGTTTCAGGGCCTTACACTCTTACATATTGTGTGGCAGGGCCTTACACTCTTACATATTCTGTGGCAGGGCCTCACTCTCTTACATATTGTGTGGCAGGGCCTCACTCTCTTACATATTGTGTGGCAGGGCCTCACTCTCTTACATATTGTGTGGCAGGGCCTCACTCTCTTACATATTGTGTGGCAGGGCCTCACTCTCTCACATATTGTGTGGCAGGGCCCAACTCTCTCACATATAGTGTGGCAAGGCCCCACTCTCTCACATACTGTGTGGCAGGTCTTCACTCTATCACATATTGTGTGGCAGGGCCTCACTCTCTCACATATTGTGTGGCAGGGCCTCACTCTCTCACATATTGTGTGGCAGGGCCTTACTCTCTCACATATTGTGTGGCAGGGCCTCACTCTCTCACATATTGTGTGGCAGGGGGAGCCTCACTCTCTCACATTTGTGAAAGCAAGCCTCACTCTCTCACATATTGTGTGGCAGGGCAACCACTCTCTCACATATTGTGTGGCAGGGCCCCACTCTCTCACATATTGTGTGGCAGGGCCTTACTCTCTCACATATTGTGTGGCAGGGCCTCACTCTCTCACATATTGTGTGGCAGGGCCTCACTCTCTCACATATTGTGTGGCAGGGCCTCACTCTCTCACATATTGTGTGGCAGGGCCCCACTCTCTTACATATTGTGTGGCAGGGCCCCACTCTCTCACATATTGTGTGGCAGGGCCTCACTCTCTCACATACTATGTGGCAGGGCCTCACTCTCTCACATACTATGTGGCAGGGCCTCACTCTTTCACATATTGTGTGGCAGGGCCTCACTCTCTCACATATTGTGTGGCAGGGCCTCACTCTCTCACATATTGTGTGGCAGGTCCCCACTCTCTCAAATATTGTGTGGCAGGTCCTCACTGTCTCACATATTGTGTGGCAGGGCCTCACTCTCTCACATATTGTGTGGTAGGTCCTCGCTCTTTCACATATTGTGTGGCAGGGCCCCACTCTCTCACATATTGTGTGATGCTGTTACAATGAGAAGAGGCTTGGATGTCAGTCCCTGACACTGAAGTCCTGCAGAGTGGCTCGACCAATGGTCTCACATCAGGAGACCTCATCATCATCATCAGGTGCCTTGCCGACTGGCGTGGGCGATCATGCCTTTCCATAATCTGCGATCTCCTGCAGCATGTATCAGTTTGTGTGCCGACACACCTCCATGCCATGCAACAAGACTGTCAAGCATCTTTTCTTGTCTTCCTCTATCCCTCCTTCCACAGATCTTTCCAGTGGTCACAACATGTTCTATTTTCCCTCTTCTCATAACATGGCCGAAAAATGATGCCTGTCAATATCTTCCTCTGAACTATCTGCTGTTGGGGCATAAATCTGTACTAAGTTGATGTCAAACGGTCTGCTGTGAAGTTTTACTTATAGTACTCTGATATTGTCCAAAATCCTTCCAAAGTTTTTGAGTTCTTTGGATCCAAAATAATACCAACTCCCTTACTTTTTCTTCTTCTTCACGTTCACCAGCTGTAAACTCTGGCAGAAAGTTCTTGTTGTTCGTCCACTGCTGGACTGCAGTCCTGTTCCAGAACCTGAGTGTTGCCTGTGCATCCGTTTTACAGATCTGACTCATTTGTATGCAAACTGCTGGTTCCTTGCCTCTCAGGCAGATGCACTCCGTCTTCAAAGGAAGCTCCCAATTAGTCGACTCTTATGACATGCTTTTGGGTAGGCAGTGGGTCTATTCTTGTTTTTCCTATATTAGGGCCATGGAACCCACACGGGGGACTCCCTTACTATATTCCTTCACACCCGAGTCAATAATTTCTATGTTTTTTGTGTGAAATCAGGAGACCAGATCTCTAAAACTCTATAAGGTAACAGTCAGAAATGTAAACACACACACAGGTACACACATACGGGTACACACATACGGGTACACACATACGGGTACACACATACGGGTACACACATACGGGTACACACATACGCATATGTCATTTTGAAGCAAGCGGTGTTGAACATATTGTAGTCTGTATCCAGATACTGGTTGCTGACATGACATTGTTGTGTTGTTTGTTTCTTCTGCCTCAGTGACAGTGACAATTAAAGAGACACCCTACCAGTTAGGATTGTTTGATACAGCTGGCCAGGTGAGTCATACTTTTGGAAACTACTTCCTTGTCCTTTTGGCCAGATTGTAGGTTTCAGGATTTTACATTTTGGTAGCAGATGTGTACAGTACTGTTGACTGTGTGTTACTGACATTTGTGTACAGTACTGTTGACTGTGTTTGTTACTGACATTTGTGTACAGTGCTGCTGACTCTGTATGTGTGTTACTGACATTTGTGTACAGTACTGCTGACTGTCTGTGTGTGTGTTACTGACATTTGTGTACAGTACTGCTGACTGTGTGTGTGCGTGTGTGTATTACTGACATTTGTGTACAGTACTGCTGACTGTGTGTGTGTGTGTTTGTGTGTGTGTGTATTACTGACATTTGTGTACAGTACTGCTGACTCTGGATGTGTGTGTGTGTGTGTGTATTACTGACATTTGTGTACAGTACTGCTGACTTTGTGTTTGTGTGTGTTACTGACATTTGTGACGGTGTGTGTGTGTGTGTGTGTGTGTGTGTGTGTGTGTTACTGAAATTTGTGACGGTGTGTGCGTGTGTGTGTTACTGACATTTGTGTAGAGTACTGCTGACTGTGTGTGTGTGTGTGTATTACTGACATTTGTGTACAGTACTGCTGACTGTTTGTGTGTGTGTTTGTGTATTGCTGACATTTGTGTACAGTACTGCTGACTGTTTGTGTGTGTGTTTGTGTATTACTGACATTTGTGTACAGTACTGCTGATTCTGTGTGTGTGTGTGTGTGTGTTACTGACATTTGTGACGGTGTGTGTGTGTGTGTGCTACTGACATTTGTGTACAGTACTGCTGATTCTGTGTGTGTGTGCTATTGACATTTGTGTACAGTACTTGTTGACTATACAAGCCTTTTTGCTGCAAGCATGTCTGACTGTGCTGATGAAACAATTGAGACATTCTGTCAAGAATCAGACGTCAAAGGGTCAGTTGATGACATCATTTGAACACAAGCAGTCTGAATTGTTTGGACATTTTTTGATGAGAAATAAACTTGAACATTTTGTGACAACTTGCACACATGGTGGGAACAAGGCAGGAGCAAACCAAGGAGACAGATACCTGAATAACTTGTACACAGGGCATTTGACTACACAGACCTGGTTTGAGGCAGGTAGTTGTGTGAGGCTGTCAACTGTGTGAGGCTGGCAATTGTGTGAGTCTGGCAATTGTGTGAAGCTGGCAGTTGTGTGAGACTGGCAATTGTGTGAGGCTGGCAATTGTGTGAGGCTGGCAATTGTGTGAGGCTGGCAGTTGTGTGAGGCTGGCAATTGTGTGAGGCTGGCAATTGTGTGAGGCTGACAATTGTGTGAGGCTGACAATTGTGTGAGGCTGACAATTGTTTGAGGTTGGCAGTTGTGTGAGGCTGACAATTGTGTGAGGCTTACAATTGTGTGAGGCTGGCAGTTGTGTGAGGCTGACAGTTGTGTGAGGCTGACAATTGTGTGAGGCTGGCAGTTGTGTGAGACTGACAATTGTGTGGGGCTGACAATTGTGTGAGGCTGACAATTGTGTGAGGCTGGCAATTGTGTGAGGCTGGCAGTTGTGTGAAGCTAGAAACTGCTTGAAGTGGTCAGTTGCTTGAAGCTATTGATTGTGTGAGGCTGACAATTTTATGAGGCTGGCAATTGTGTAAGGCTGACAATTGTGTGAGGCTGACAGTTGTGTGAGGCTGACAATTGTGTGAGGCTGACAATTGTGTGAGGCTGACAGTTGTGTGAGGCTGAAAATTGTGTGAGGCTGACAATTGTGTGAGGCTGACAGTTGTGTAAGGCTGACAATTGTGTGAGGCTGGCAGTTGTGTAAGCCTGGCAATTGTGTGAGGCTGGCAGTTGTGTGAAGCTAGAAACTGCTTGAAGTGGTCAGTTGCTTGAAGCTATTGATTGTGTGAGGTGGGCAGTTGTGTGAGGCTAGCAACTTTGTGAGGTCTGCAGTTGTGAGAGTCTAGGGATTGTTTGAGGCTGGCCATTGTGTGAGGCTGGCAGTTGTAAGAGGCTGGTGATTATGTGAGGCTTGCAGTTGTGTGAGGCTAGCAACTTTGTGAGGCCTGCAGTTGTGTGAGTCTAGGGATTGTATGAGGCTGACAGTTGTGTGAGGCTGGTGATTATGTGAGGCTGGCCGTTGTGTGAGGCTGGTGATTATGTGAGGCTGGCAGTTGTGTGAGGCTTGCAATTTTGTGAGAGCTAAGTCATGATCATCTAAACTTATAGGCATGGAACAGGAAGTGGTACCATTATGTTTACTGCAACTGGCAGTGTCTTGAAATCTGTCTCATCTGTGGGTCAACATGGAGACACCACCTTATTTTAGTTTTCTGAAAATTAACGGCTTTGAGAGTGTCTCACTGTGTCACTTGTAGATACGTGAACAGTGACCATAGATGTATGTGGTCACTTAATATATCTCTGACCTGGTGAGCTGAGATCTTCAAAACCTTTAGAAACTCTACTTACTTGGCCTTAGAGAAACAACCAATAGAAATTCTACATACTTGTCTTTAGAGAAGCAACAAGTAGAAACTCTACATACTTGACCTTAGAGAAACAGCCAGTAAAAACTCTACCTACATGACCTTAGAGAAACAACCAATAGAAATTCTACGCTCTTGACCTTAAGAAAAGCTTAAATAATTTGACCTTGGAGAAACAACCAGTATACACTCTATATATTTGACATTAGGGAAACAACAAATAGAAATTCTACATATTTGACATTAGGGAAACAACAAATAGAAATTCTACATATTTGACCTTAGGAAAACAACCAGTAGAAATTCTACTTACTTGACCTTAGAAAAACAGCCAATAGAAACTCTACTTACTTGACCTTAGAAAAACAGCCAGTAGAAACTCTTCTTACTTAACCTTAGAAAAACAGCCAGTAGAAACTCTAGCTACTTGACTTTAGAGAAACGACCAGTACAGAAGACGTAAAATAACTGGCTGGTGTCTTTATCCTTCTCATACAGACAGACATGAATCCCAGTTGCTCCTGTATGTGATTGATTACAGTATAATAACCTGTGTTGCTTTCGTTTTCCCAGGAGGAATATTTAAGTCTGCGGATTCTGTCATACCCAGAGACAAGTATTTTCCTGGTGTGTTTCTCCGTCGTCATGCCTGAATCGTTAAAACATGTGGAGTCTAAATGGGTTCCAGAAATCCTCCACAGTGTCCCGCATGCTCCCTTCATCCTCGTTGGGACACAGTGTGATCTGAGAGATGATGAAACCACCAAACTGAAGTTACAGAAAAGACGACAGAGAGCGTTATCAACAGAAGAAGGTCAACGAATGGCCAAGAAGCTGGGGGCTGACTGCTATGTTGAATGCAGTGCTCTCTCAAGGCAAGGGCTCAAGGATGTTTTCGATGAAGCCCTGCTGTCTGTCCTTGAACCTAGGCACACAGAACCAGAAAAGAAAAGAAAGAAACACCACTGCCTTATATTGTAAATATCACATGCACAAGACAGTTATCAATGCACGGTTTCTGATTGTGAAAATCTTGCAGCCATTGAAACAATCAAGTACAAATCTTGACAGAGATATTTGGTCTGGATGTACAATATCTCTTTGAAACTTGTTCACACATGTGATAAATAGTTTGTGATGTTTATTCACAATGTGATAGAATAGTATAGGATATCTGTTGACAGTGTGATAAAATAGTTTGTGATATCTGTTGGCAGTGGGACAGAAGATATTCTGACCAATCGCTGAAGTTTTCATGCTGGAATTTATTTACACTTGTTGCCATGTGAACAGCTGTATTGTCATGTGAACAGCTGCATTGTCACATGTACAGCTATTGTGATGCCAACAGCTGCATTGTCATGTGAACAGCTGCATTGTCATTTGAACAGCTGTATTGTCATGTGAACAGCTGTATTGTCATTTGAACAGCTGTATTGTCATGTGAACAGCTGTATTGTCATGTGAACAGCTGTATTGTCATGTGAACAGCTGTATTGTCATGTGAACAGCTGTATTGTCATGTGAACAGCTGCATTGCCATGTGTTGCAGATTGTTGTCCATGATTTTTCTCAATGACAGATGTTCACATTATGTTGTACTTTATCTTTAATGAACCCAGGGTATTGTGTGATGGCCCATGTATTCATGGAACTTTGTGTCCCTCTTGTCTCTGTCAGTGATACACGGCACCTGTGTGTGACTATCATGGGTGTCCCTCTTGTCTCTGTCAGCGATACACGGCACGTGTGTATGACTATCATGGGTGTCCCTCTTGTCTCTGTCAGTGATACATGGCACCTGTGTGTGACTGTCATGGAACATTGTGTCCCTCTTGTCTCTGTCAGTGATACATGGCACCTGTGTGTGACTGTCATGGAACTTTGTGTCTCTCTTGTATCTGTCAGTGATACATGGCATCTGTCTGTGACTGTTATGGGTGTCCTTTTTGTCTCTGTCAGTGATACATGGCACCTGTCTGTGACTGTTATGGGTGTCCCTCTTGTCTCTGTCAGTGATACACGGCACCTGTCTGTGACTGTTATGGGTGTCCTTCTTGTCTCTGTCAGCGATACACGGCACCTGTGTGTGACTGTCATGGAACATAGTGTCTCTCTTGTCTCTGTCAGTGATACATGGCACCTGTGTGTGACTGTCATGGAACTTTGTGTCTCTCTTGTCTCTGTCAGTGATACACGGCACCTGTGTGTGACTGTCTTGTGTTACCTATAAAACCCCACTGCCAGGTGTTCCAGGTATGCAAAACACCAGGTCTGTGGCTAGTTCATGAGGAATACATTTTTAAAAATATTTATTTTGTTATTTCCAGAATATAAATGTGAAGTGTGTGTGGGCTCTATGTCAGCAGTTGTGATTATCTGGTCTTGTTGAAGTCAGATGTGGGCCACACTTAATGGCAAGTGTTTGGAGAGTGACAGCTAAGTGTAGGGGGAGGGATAGATGTGGGACACACTTAATGGCAAGTGTTTGGAGAGTGACAGCTAAGTGTAGGGGGAGGGATAGATGTGGGCCACACTTAATGGCAAGTGTTTGGAGAGTGACAGCTAAGTGTAGGGGGGAGGGATAGACAAGGCCACACTTAATGGCAAGGATGTCATCAGAGAAGGACAGCTAAGTGTAGGGGGAGGGATAGATGTGGGCCACACTTAATGGCAAGTGTTTGGAGAGTGACAGCTAAGTGTAGGGGATGTCATCATGTGGGCCAGGATCCCTCCAAATGGCAAGTGTTTGGAGAGTGACAGCCTTAAGTGTAGGGGGAGGGATAGAACTCACAAGGGCCACTCCACAACAATGGGATGTGTTTTCAGAGTGACAGCAACACAATGGGAGGGATAGATGTGGGCCACACTTAATGGCAAGTGTTTGGAGAGTGACAGCAAAGTGTAGGGGGAGGGATAGATGTGATGCCATCACTTACAAGGCCCTCCAACAACAGTGGGATGTCATCAACTGACAAGCTAAGTGTAGGGGGATGTCCATCAGATTGTGCAGGACCCCTCCATAGAGTGCTTGGCCAAATTTCACTGTTTATGGATTGATCTTGCGTGTAGTTCTTCCTCCATCATCATTACAATGGGATGTCATCATGGAGCAAGGAGGGCTCCATGGGTTGTCATCCTGTTGTCAGTGTTGTGCTCAGGTGATTTTTTGTTCCCAGGCTGTTCTTGTCAGCCTTAGATTGATTGTTCTACTGAATGTTCTTATAAAATTGTCTGTAGAATGTCTGCTGTGGTTGAAACCAGACATGCAGTTAATTAAAGAGCATCAGATGAGATGGTTTGGTCATCTGAAAAGAATGCTCTGGAACCAACTGCCATAGGGTGTCACACTAAATAAAATACTATGAAACACTGAGCAAAGGGGAAGACCACACAAAACATGGAATGATGCCATCAAGAACAGCCTTAAGGACTTCCAGGTTAGTTTATACAACACATTATACAGATCACATAAAAGATGCTCATATCTTCCCTAACACTTGGATAAGCTCACTAAAGGAAGAGAATCAGAAGAAGAGAACAAAAGAAGAAGAATATCTGCCCTAGAACTAGTTCTGCATGGTGATCCCTCCAGCAACAATGGGATGTCATCAACTTCACAAGGATCCCTCCAACAACAATGGGATGTCATCAACTCACAAGGATCCCTCCAACAACAATGGGATGTCATCAACTTCACAAGGATCCCTCCAACAACAATGGGATGTCATCAACTCAGAAGGATCCCTCCAGCAACAATGGGATGTCATCAACTTCACAAGGATCCCTCCAACAACAATTGGATGCCATCAATTCAGAAGGATCCCTATTACAATAAAACAATGCCGTCAGCTCAGAATTATCTCTCTAACAATCAAGGGAGACTTAAACTCAAGTTCTAAAAGATGACTGAAGTCCAGAAGTTTACTAACCAGAACTTTTTGCCAGATTTTACATTTCGTAAATGCAAATAATAGGAAAAGGACAACAACACAGCCATATTTCCCAGTTGCTTCCCTTGAAAGCATGTTGATTTTCTTCAATGTGTTTACACCTGAGATTTGTTGTTGATTGTGTGACATACTGTGTGCCTGTGTGTGTGTTTGTACTGTAACACTATTGCTGTTATCCTGTACACTGTTTCCCAGAGGTTTGTCTGATGCTGACATCTCAGGAAGTCAACTTATTTCTGTAAACCTAGTGAGATGTACTCCTATTATGGTGGGGGGTCATTTGGCTTATCAAGTGATTGTGATCTTGATGTTCCTGAGAGCGATGGTTTCTTTAGATATGATCTTCTGTGAGTATAGATGTCTCTCTGTTGTAGATCGTCTGTGAGTATAGATGTCTCTCTGTTGTAGATCTTCTGTGAGTATAGATGTCTCTCTGTTGTAGATCTTCTGTGAGTATAGATGTCTCTCTGTTGTAGATCTTCTGTGAGTATAGATGTCTCTCTGTTGTAGATCTTCTGTGAGTATAGATGTCTAGACTGTTGTAGATCTTCTGTGAGTATAGATGTCTCTCTGTTGTACTGATCACTAACTATTTATTCAGTCTATTTATCAGTTGATTAACTGATCATTTAATAAATCTGTTAGTTATTTGGCGAGTCAGCTGATGTATTTCCTAACTAATATAACATTAATGTTTATCCTTTGATACATACATTAATTAATTGTACATTAATTAATTAATCCATCAGTTATTATGTCCATTATTTTATTAATCCATCCAGCATTCAGTTATTTATTTTAATTAACATATCTGTTAATTACTTAAAATATGTTTTATTTAGCCATTCACTTACATCTAAACCTATCAGTTAAATATAAATAATATGTCACTTAATTACCTGGACACTTACTAAACAAGCGGAACAGCGCATAAATGCATTTGAATATAAATGTTACAGACAGGTTCTAAGAATATCTTGGGTAAAGAAAAGAACAAATGCATCCATACTTCAAGAGCTGAATATTGAAGAGGGTTGGCTAGTAAAGACAATAAAACAAAGAAAATTGAAATATTTTGGTCACTTGAAACATCATGGAAGTCTAGAGAGAACAATAATGGAGGGGTATATGCCTGGGAAGAGAGGAAGAGGAAGGCCAAGGAGAAGATGGGTGCAGGATGTGGCAGATGATCTCCAGATGGGTGTATCAGACGCAGGACATCTTGCTCATGATAGGAAGGTTTTCCGGAGGGTTGTTATGGCAGCGAGGTTCCACGAGGGACATGCTACTGAATGAATGAATGAATTACCTGTCACTTAATCACCTGTTACTTAATCATTAAATGTTCAATATTTTATGAGTTCATCTATCACTTGTGCCTGACCAGTTAGAGAAAGTCACATCAGACCCACCCACAGAAAGTCACATCAGACCCACCCACAGAAAGTCACATCAGACCCACCCACAGAAAGTCACATCAGACCCACCCACAGAAAGTCACATCAGACCCACCCACAAAAAGTCACATCAGACCCATCCATAGAAAGTTACATGAGACACACCCACAGAGAGTTACATGAAACCCACCCACAGAAAGTCACATCAGACCCACCTACAGAAAGTTACATGAAACCCACCCACAGAAAGTCACATCAGACCCACCCACAGAAAGTTACATGAAACCCACCCACAGAAAGTCACATCAGACACACCCACAGAAAGTCACATCAGACCCACCCACAGAAAGTCACATCAGACCCACCCACAGAAAGTCACATCAGACCCACCCACAGAAAGTCACATCAGACCCACCCAAAATAAAGTCACATTGACCTACTTGTGGACCCTGAAAACATATTTAAAGTACTTGGCATTCAGTTTTAAGGTTCTAGACTGGACTCCACCATGATGTTGTAGAGCTGGCACAGCTGAAGGTGACACTAGCATGGTACAACAGGATCATGATGTTGTAGAGCTGGCACAGCTGAAGGTGACACTAGCATGGTACAACAGGATCATGATGTTGTA